AGAATAATCCAGTAATATTCCTTTTTGTCTTAAATAAAAATGAGGGATTTTTGTACGACTCAAAAAAAATTTAATATTGCTGATGGCTTACAATTATGTCTCCTAATTATTTTTTTTATTGCCATGAAGTGATTTATAGTATATTTAATTTTAAAAAATAAAAAAAATAATTTTTTAATTAAATTGATTAAAAATTTTTTTGATTTCTTTCAAATCAAATATATTATTAAAATTTTACTTAAAAAAGGAAAAAATAAATAAATTTAGATGCTTATATATAACATTCTTTCTCTTCTTTTTAATAAAAGATTAAACCAAATCCCAATATATGATTCATGTGGTTATTGTGTAAATATTCCCCTCGTTCCATCATATTCAAACCCCTTTGTTCCTTATTCCTCCAATCCTCCTCCTCTTTTCTTAACTCCCTTGGTACCCAAAAAAAAAAAAACAAGAAGGGGAATCAGGCCAAGTAGACCATAGGATCAGTGACTAGATACCTTTGACAAGTCATAACCATAAGACTAGTAACCGACTTACGGATACTTATATCAATACACAATTTGTGCCGACAGAAAGTGCATGACTTATGGGTATAATTAAGTAGAGAAGAAACAAAGTTTGCGGTTTACTTTTTTCCCTTTGTTGGCTGCTGTTTTGGGGTTTACTTTTAGTTCAATTGAAGAACTTGATTTAGGGATTACTTTTAGTTCAATTCCAGAACTTGATTTAGGGATCAAGACGTCATCGAATAAGACAGGAAATGTCCCCACTTGGAACTCTGTTTTTCCAAAATGGTAGTGGGTTTTGGACGTAAAATCTTGCATAATCACATTTTATTTGTTTAGTTTGTCAATCGCCTTTGACTTGTTGGATTTGATTTTAGACTAGTAGTAAAATCACTTAAAGAAATGCAAAAAAGAAAAGGAAATTGGAGTGGAGTATCCATTCACTTAGATTTATTTCTTTATTACATTATTAAGCATTCATATACAATTTAAAATAATAAAATAGGCGTACTTTATTATTCAATTATTGTAAATATAATTCCATAGTAACTTATATTTTATTTTTAAATTGAAGTACTTCATTAATATTAATAAAATAAATAATAATATAAAAATAATTTTTATATATTATTAAATAAATATATATTTAATATAATATATTTTAAATAAATAAAAATATAATTTTATAAAGTTAAATTTTTTTTGTACTTTGAATTTTATTGTTTTTAATAGTTAAATTTTTTAAAATATTTACTTTCAATTAACAATCAATACTTTTTATAATTTATAATTTATAAAAAATCCAAAATCAATGAATAACCCACACGTAAGTTAAGATATAAATAGAAAATTTTGGTTGTTAATTTTTGATTTTTTATAATAATTTTAAATTTTAGAGGTTGTTTACCAAAAGTAAAATTTTTTAAAAGCATTAATGTAAAAAATAATAATATCCATTATATGAATAGAAAGTTTAATCAATTTTTAATTATTAATTATTTTTTGTATATTTTTATTAATTTTAATAAATATTTATATAATTTTTAATAAAAAAAACTTATTAATATAATACAGTATTGTCATATTAACGCTGAGCCTCACAAATCAAATTAGTTGAGAGATTTTGATTTATTCAGAAAGGGCATATCTGTCACTGAAAAAGTAATGGCAAGTAAATGTAATATGCAATCCGAAACATGATTATTTTCCTTTTTCCTTTTGCTTTTTGTTGGTGTGAAGACAAAAATATGAGTTACGGCTTGCTGGGATATGCAATGTCCTCTCTGGCTAACTCTTTTTAAGCTTCATTCACCGTAGTAGAGGACACCATTCCCTGGTGAATGCAGTAAAATTTAAGCCCCACCATTTTGTTCTTAAAATGATCTTAACCATAACAGTGAAAATATAGATATTTATTTATTTATGTAATATAACTATTCTTGACTCGAGAATCTCTCCTCTCATTATCATTTTTGTTTTGGTGATGTGGTGGCATGCTTTGATTTGATTAGGTGTAATCTGGTGTAGCAGAAGATGCCAAAGATGAGACACTTTCACTTTCCTCAGGAAAATTCTCGAGTCTCTAACCAAAAAAAGTTAAAGTGCATTAGGGGAAGATTGAAGAAGGTGCATCATCTTAGAGG